AAGGAGAGATCCCGCTGTGCAGCCCGCTGCCGTGCAGGAGAGCTCAAAGGGCTCTTGGGCTGCTCACTATTTGTAGGGGTAAGATGATTGACTTACAGTCATATTTGCATACTGATAACTGTGGTTAGGTGGGCATATTTCTCACAATAACCAAGGGCTATTGTGTTGTCATCTGGCTCCGGAATCCACTTCGTTAATGGATGAAGCTGTCACTATCAGCATCCATTAACGACTGCTCCTGGTAGTTATCGCTTGAGCAGGGTTACAGGAGGTAAAGGTCAGGTTGGACGGGGGAGCACCCCGTCATGTGTACCAAGAGAGTAATTTTATTTTTAACAATATCCTGAATATTGAGGACACCTGGCTTTGGATTCAGTTCATCTAACTTTAGACATCCACAATGTAGCTGTCTACATCTCAGAAAATTATTTAGATTCCCTTTGCACTCAAGTAGACAGGGAGAGGCACCACCAAAATGTGATTCATATGTGCTGTTCTGTTCTGTCTCGTCTATATAACTACTTTAGGATGAAATGGAATATGTCCTGGAAATAACTATTTCTCTTCACCAGCCACAAAGTGAACCTAGAATCAGTAGTTCAAACTAAGACAGTGAGAATTCATCACGTTTAACTTTAGTAGAGTAGTTAAATACTTAAAATTTAATGCCTGGATCCCAAGGCACCCAAGTTTATATGAGTGAGGCTGCCATATAATACGAGACCTTTAGAAGATGCGTATCTTCGTAGCTTGACAGCTATAGGCCAACAAATTACCCAAGATTATCCAAAGCTACACTAGTCACTTGAGTCCCATTCTAGGTATCTACATGAGAGGTGGACATGTAGTAGTCTCAGTGTCTGTTAGAGTCAGCTGAAACCTGGTCAGTGCCATCAGTGGAGTCTATAGAGTCATTTGTCTCATCAAAAAGTAGACGTCTATCTAGGACTACTTTCAGTTTCCCAAACTGGTACTGTTTGGGATTCCTGATAATACGTGGGACTTCTGTATGAAATTGGAAGATTTGATACACAACCTAGAGGATGCCTATACCCTTGTGGAATGCATCTGGATGATCTACCACATCTCAAATGACATGAAATTCCTATTTGCAAGCAACTGAATTAGCTACTACATTTGTTCAGATGAATCATTCTTTAAACTTCATTGATTATTGATCATATCTCCACTGACTATAATGAAAATTTAGATTTGTAGTTGTGATGATGACAGATAAATTTGCTAACAGTGCAAGATTTAGTTGTATAAATGTTCTATAGTCTTATATGTCTCTGTCTCAAAACATTTTCATAGGGCTGGCAGATATCACTGTACCTTTCTTCAACTGGAGCTGGTGTTATCTCTCAGGGTTAAGATGATACCAGATGACTATGCAACTGAGTCCTGTCCCCAAAATAAGGTAGATGAATCCCACAAAGGAAATCTGAGTTCATTTCATGGGTCTAGCCACATGTTAATTTCAATAATGACTGATCTTCACTATAGATATAGTATCTAATACTGTATTACCTAACATACTAAATTTAGGGAAAAACAAAGATCAAGACACATGAAAGATCCTTCACACAAGTATTCTGCCATATATTAAAGCTGAAATTTCATTTGTGGAATTCCTCTCAAATAACTTTTGCAATCCAAAAGTTCATGAGTCATGTCAAAGTTAGTTATCCCTCCTTTCATAATTAATGAAGAAACAGAATTACCTCCAGAAGATGTGTTCCCCAAACCATCTAAACCATCTCATTTAAGAAATGAGCCATCTTTCATATTTGGCTATTTGTATCCTCTGATTACTAGTGGTTTAGGGTGAAACAGCTGATTTTAAATGGCTAAAACTGAGTGAGAGGAATTGCATATCATAAGATGGCAGTCTAAGACAAGGATAAATGTGATGTTAATGTCCCTGCTTTCCTTTGTTGACTATAGCTCAAGCCTTTGTATACCTAATGTAACTCAAATAACTAGATAACTGCAGTACATGAGGTAAATCATTCAATTCCTACTGCTGTTGATACTGGTTTTCTTTCCCTACCCTTTCCACCTGAACCCATATTCTCTTGCTTCTTTCTCCCCAGCTTGAAGAAATCTCCACTCCTATGGTATTTTCTTCATCTGATAACCATAATGTTTCATTTTCATTATTTCCTTTGTTTGTCTTCACCTGTACACACATGAATTAGTGGTGACCAGTTAATTCACTTAAGTTGTTCTCCTCTTCGTTCAAACCAAAGATCTCTGTTGTAATACCCGTTTTTCAGGCTGCAAATGAGATACAAAGACAGAAACAGCTTGACTAGCAGAACAATTAGAGAGTCAGGGAAATGATGAATTCTGAATTCAGCAACTTCTTTGCTGGACTGTGTTCGCAAAAAATCTTGTGTCAACAAATGACATTCAGTTTTCAGCTGCCTGTATAATAATAGTCCAGGGAAGGCCTGAGCACTCAGAAATACAGACCTTGAGATTCAAAAACTTACCTGTTCTGTAAAACAGGTTTGTGTTCTGATAGCAAAGAACAGGCCAGTTTGGCTGTGCCCCCTCCCAGCTTCTTGTGCACCTGCAGCCTTCTCAGTCAGTAGAGCATGGGAGAGCATGGGAAGCTGAAAAGTCCTTGACTAGTGTAAGCATTACCTAGAACTAAAACATCAGTGTGTTATCAACTTTGTTCTCGTCCTAAATCCAAAACACAGCACTGTACCAGCTACTAGGAAGGAAATTAACTCTATCCCTACTGAAACTAGGACAGCAGGCAAAATATTAAGATTCCTTTAAATAACAGAGGGACAAGAATTAATAAAAAACAAAAACAAAAACAAAAAAGTGAAAGGGTCTCCATTACTGTAACATCCTGAGGGAAGTCTTGTAGTTATAGTTCATCAATGTAATAAAAATCAGATAAATTATACCAGCAGGGGAAACAATAGATGAATCTAAGGTTACAGTAGCTAGTGGAATATATATAAGCCTTGTCATTCAACACCCCGGATGACCCTACCCATGTTCATCTAAGTCTCTAGGTCTAAACTAGTTGTCTAGGTTTTCTCAAAATTTATATGGAGATAACAGCTATATGGGAGGTGAGATTAAGGTTAGAAAACAAATGAACAACCTTCTCCCCCCTCCAAATGATACCTTTTTAAACATTTGTGGTGTAGATAACCTGCATGTGAGTTAGTAAAAGTGGGTTGTCCTTATGACAGTGAGAAACAGGCACTTATAAAACATGAGTCATCTTATCTATTTTAATTATCGGTCATATGATAAGGTGACTCACATCCTAGAAGCATTTATTTCTCTTCATTGAGTGTGATGAAAACCTTCAGTGACATAAAGATGTTTAAAGATAGGAAAAATCACCCTACTAGACTCATGTGCTGTACAGTGGATTACAGTGGACCTTCAGTGATATAGATGTTTAAAGATAGGAAAAATCACCCTACTAGACTCATGTGCTGTACAGTGGATTTTAGTGGAATAAATCTGGAGATTAGTTATACATAACTGATTATAAATAATACAAATATATAAATATATATTACAGAAACTATATGATATATATATCATATTGTATTATACATAAAGTGTATTAGATATATATGTATAATGTATAATAAATCTATAACCAATATTGATTATATATCCCCCAAGTAATCTTGATCAATGTACATCACTCCACTTATTTAAAAATAAAGGCACAGACAAGAAGAAAGGAGGTAAGGAACAAGATTTTTCATGCAGCCAGAAACTACCCTAGCATTGGCAGTTAGCATAGGCATAGGCATTTCTGTTATCTGAGGCTGAGGTAGGCACCCTGTGTTCCTATACTGAAAAAAAAGAGACATTCACTAACAGGCATTTATAAAAGAAAAATTTCATACTGGATCTCAACATGAGTAGCTCAGATTTAGATATATTTCAGATGTCTGATGTTGAGACAGATGAATCCTGTCTAAAGGGACAGGATTCCAAGATCCAAGAAGTCCTTCCATTTTAGTAACCAAAGTTCTACCTCATACTGGCTCAGAAAAAATGCATCATTTATCTTTCCAACAAGCTTAGTATCATCTGAGACAGCAAGATCCCAATGAGAGGCTAGGGTAGGCTTACTCTCATCACTTCCTTCTGAGTGTAGTGAGCAAAACTCTATGGTTTTAAGCATATTGTTCCCATGAGGGGGGTTTACAAATCTTGTAGCTTCTTTGTCATTCTCTTTCTTATATTATCTCTTAGCAGTGGAAACACCGCAGTGTGGTTCTTCCCAGGAAGTTACAGAAAGACAATACCCAATGTCTGTTGATTTCAAACTCAATTTAGTGCCTATCTGTTGTCTTGAAAATCCCCATTCAACATAAACATTAAGAAGGCACTAAC